AAAGCTGCTGCCACTGGAGCCTTGCCCAAACAGAAGCCCGAAGTTCTGCCTTGGCCAGACAAAAAGCCAAAGCATCAATATGCGTGTATCTAAAGAGGAATAAGTATAGACATTGAAAGAATGAAGTGTATATATATATATACACACATATTATATATATTCTATGTGAATATTTATTATGGAAATATATTCAAAAGAGTATGCATATATATATATCTATATATATATAAATATATCTACGTGTTCAAATATGTAAAAAAGTATATGAATTTATGATAAGAATTATTTATGTATATGCTATATATATATGAAAAACATTTACAAATAAAATAAAAATATATACATAATATGAATATGAAATACACATATGGATAAATATGAATATATATTAATAAATACAAATTACAGAAATAAGTACGAGGTATGAATATATAATTATATGTGGAAAAGAAAGAAGAGCACGGAATTGAATACAAGCATATACACTAAAATGATATATGATATATTCATCTGATTATCTGTATCCCTACATCTCTCCACACACACATAAACATAAGCGGCGTTTATACTTGGATTCGGTGAAAGATTTCCAAAGCATTTTTGCACATCACACCAAACAGTGCAATTCGTGACTCGTTTTCTCTGCCACTCATTGTCTTGGAGCGCTGGAACGGCTGATACAGCTGAATGCCATGTATCATTGACCACATTTCAAATGGCCATCCCCATGCCTTCATCTCTTCCCCAAATTGCAATAAGGATGGAGGCAACCCTGCAAAAAGTTTTTACAAAAGGCTTTAAGAAATTGGCCCGCTCCACTTTCGCGAAGCAGGATCAGGGTTCATATGGCGAAACAAAGCGCGCCTCAAAAGCCCGGCTCTCAACAAGCGAGCTTGCACCCTTTGAGCTCTCCCTCCCAATTTGGGCCCTTTGGCTGCTTGCAGCTGGCCCCAAGACTGGCACCACAACTGCATAGTGTCCCTGCAGCTCTGAGCTGGAGGAATGGGTTTCATCAAGGGGTAGCCTACAAAGCTTTCGAAAAGCACACACCCACATGCCCAAATGTCCACACTGGGGCGAAGGTGCTTGGAAAGCTCAACAGCGCAAGCATTCCATAGCTCAGGAGGCCTGTACGGTGCACTGACGTACTCAGAAAATCGAAGCTCACAAGCTGCAACTCCAAAAAGCTCAGCCATCCCAAAGTCAGTGAGCTTCATCTGCAATGTCTCCTTGATCCACAAGATATTTCCAGGCTTCACATCTAGGCGGAGGACGCTGATTGCATGCAGCGCTTGCAAGGCTGCTTGCAGCTGCAAGGACAGCACAGACACGCTGTGGCTGCTCAGCGGTCCATCTACTTGAATCACTTGCAGCAACGATGTGCCACCATATTCCAAAACCATGAAGGGGAAAGGGTTCCTCTTCGAATCGGTTGCCAGCAAAGCTGGGAATAGATGCCGGTCTTGCTCTGCAATCTTATCTTTGATCAAATTGAGAACTAAAACCTCTTGCTTCAGAGACTGCAGTGTCTTGCTGCACTTGAAAATCTTGACCGCACAGGGACGGCCATTCGGCGTCATACCTCGTACCACATTGCCATAAGAACCTTCGCCCAATGGCGCCTGTCTGCCCGGCACCGTGACATTGCCAAATTTCCAGGCAACATCACCTTCCTTGACAGCACAGTCGCTGTCCATGGTGCATAACTCGGACGGCTGGGATGGCTGGGACGGCTGGGCACGCTCCAAATCAAGAGGACGCCGGATCTGAAAGCCATGAATCTTCAAAGCATCCCTTTGTTCTGTGAACTCTTGTTTGCATCTGAGTTTGTATTTGTCTTTGTCTGCCTGAGGCAACGCCCCCCATTTCCGACCAAGCCTCTTCATCTCTTTAAGAAAGTCTGCTTTGGCTGAGCCTTTTGGCACTGCACTATTTTCCAAGACAAAGAGAGCAAAAGGCCGCCGGGCCTTTGGCGCCATGCCTTCAGCAACGGCAGCTTTTCGCATAGTTGGCTTCCTCACAACAGGCTTGGGCATGATGGGCTTGGAAATGGCTGGCCACGGCTGCTTGCCATGAAGCCTGACATGAGGAGACTTGCTCACCATGGGGCTCCAAGCAGTCAGTAGCACGGTCTTGGTCTGTGGGGCACTTTTGGGCCATACTAGCACATGACATCAATTCAGGTCAACTACTAATCATGTTAAAGGAAAGCTACACATCAAACAGATGCCAAATCAAAGAAGCTGCTGCGTCGACACCCTTGGCTGCACAAGTGTCACCCTTCAGGGCACAATTCTAGAAAAACGACGCTGCCAAGGGTTGCAGCCAAGCACTGAAGCATGGCCCAGCACATTGCTTTTTGAACGGATGTCAGTGTTTGGGCTAACCTGCTCATAGCTTGCGCAGTCTGCACAAAAAGGCTGCTTTCTACTACTATGGACAGCGCCAAATCAAAAAATCAAAAATTCAAAGAGCTTGGACAGCTGGGACGCTAGGGCTCTTAGGCTGCGTCATCATCGGTCTCCGGCTCCATCAGCTCCTCTGCCTCGTCATCAGCTGGAACCAACTTTTGAAGAACATCAGCGAAGTGCTGCTTCACACTCTTAGCCAGCTCCTCAGCATAGAGTGTGGAACCTTCAATGGAGATCAGCCCACACGCAGCGCGATCCGCAACCGCCTGCAACCAAGACATGTGCTCACGGTTCAGGCATACTCCGTGATACTGAATCCCACGGGTCAAACAAGCCTCCATCAGGGCACCGGACCCGGCAGTCAGGTCCAGAACGGCTTGTCCCTTAAACTCGTCCAGCAAAGCCAAGTACAACTCAATCGGCTTGGCCTCTTGCCAAAACAAAGGCACATCTTCGCCGTGGCACTCTTTCCATGGCTCTGGTGCTGGGACGGCTGGGGCAGCTGGGAAGATTTTCTTCTTCTCATCTGCTGCAATCAGTGGCAGTTCACTCACAGGGCGGAATGTGACCCCAGAGAATGTGCCCTGGAACGTCGTTGCTTCTCCGCAAGATGTGAAGTTTTCCTTCTTTGTCGTCTTGATCTTGGTGCGTTGGGCAGGAAAGCGGAGCACTGCTGTCTCAACCTTCTTGGCCCCCAAAGGCACTCGCCTGACCCGGCCTGCTCGAGGAACGCACCCCCCACTGTAGATCAAGCAAAGTTCTTCTGTGTGCGAGTGGGCCAGGACAACATCTTCCTGGCTTGGGATGCCGTCTGACAATGACTGGGTTTTATTTAAGCAACTCAAGTGGCACCAAATGGCACAAAAAAGGACATAGAAAAAAACACCGCTCAATCCAGCCAAGTCAAGGAACATTGATCCTTCTGATCTCCCGCATCCGACCATCGAAAAGCAATGTGAAATCGGTGCTGCCAGTGAGGGCCACACAGAACTCTGCAACAGCCTTCCAAGCTTCATGGGCAGGCGGCGACAGGGATAGCCAAGGCTGATCAGACTCCTCCGTCATCATGTCAGCGCTGCCAATGATCAGCCTATGGCTGGCATTCAAAGAGCCCTTGTGTGCCCAAACCTTGCCGCTGTTGCGAAAGGCTGCATTCAGGGAGTCCTTTGTATACTTCGGGACAACGGAGAATGTCACGAACTTCCTTCGCTCGGCTTGGACCTGCTTCCAAGTCATTTCTCGAGCAGCCGCATCCTGCTCAGACGAGGTAGTTGGGTTGAGAGTCTGGATCAGGCTCTGCGATGGCAATGTCGACGCCAGTGAAACGCTTTTGCTTCCGGTGTCGAAAGCTTGCACCACCAAGTAGAGGCTTGTGAGCAACTTCACGCTCTGCTGGCCAGACTTCTCATCAGTATGCATGCTGGATGCAGCTTCAGTAACGGCTTGAGGAAGCTTCATGTTCTCAGCTGCGATCTTCTTGCAGTCCTCAATGTATTCCCCTCGCATCAAGTCAACAAGCAATTCCAGCAAGGAACCAGTTGCCTTGTTGAACTCTGCCTTCACTGTGTTCAACTTGCCAGCCTCCACTGGGGCTGCAGCTGCAGCATCTTCTTCACCTTCTCTCACAATGCCACTCTCTTCAGACTCTGTGAGAAGGAACTCTGCCAAGCAGGTTGTGGGATCTCTGATGCTCTCCAAAACCTTGACGCACTTCTGGCACTCTTGCTCTGGCAGCTTCGACGTCAGTGGCGCCAGGAAATCAAAGACCTGCCAGGCAACAGGAGTAACAATTAGTTGAAAGCACTGTCTAGTAGACTTGGGTTGGAACCCATCATGAACTTCATGAACCTGAAACCAGCGGCAAGCCCTATCATGGTATGAGCAGGCCTCCAGAATGACGAGGCAAGCTTGCCAGTAGCCAGTAGTAGAATGCTTGCGGTCTCCGAAAAGCCAAACATCCGTGGCCTGCTTGCTCTGAATGATGTTCTTCACCAAAGCCAAGTGCAGCATCTGCACCAACCAGCTAGCAACTTGCTGCGCAGTCCTTTCAGTTGTGGCAGCAGCCTTGGACAGCGACACCAAGCGGTTCAGCTTTGAGTACGCGTTTGACAGCAACTCGCGTCCCCAACCCATCTCAAGACGACCCATGGACTTCAAAAATACATCTCCTTCAAGCAAGAAGATGACCCCCATGGCCGCCCTGTGCATTGATGAGTTGTACACAGCATTGTTGAACCGTAGTCCATGCGAGATCCCATCCTGTTCCTTTTCAATGCCCAGCTTCTTTACCACATCGGCAAAAGTTAAAAATGTGTCCGATAAGGACAGGTCACCAATGGACTTGAGGCCTTCCGAGGCATGGTTGCGCGCTTTCACAAAGTCTGCTAAGTCTGGGCAAAGCCGCACTTGGATTGTTACAGTCAGGCCGGCCTCCCACAGCATAGCAAGCCAATCCTTGTCCTCAGGACAGGCAGCATGGTCATGGAAAGAGCCACACTGGAGATGGCTGGGACAGCTGGAATGGCTATACACGCATCACTTCCAACAATCAGACGGGAATCAAAAAACTTTGGTGAATCAACATCCAAGCAGCGCTGGCACACAGGGCTTTTGACAATGCATAGTACCAGGACCACAGGACAAAGTGGGACGACAAAACATTGAGACTGTGTTCGAAAAACTTCTTGTCCACATCCGAGACAGCATCGCAAGCACATACCATGATGACAGGCCACAGCAGTCTGTCTCTCGGCTTTTGCCGCTTGCCGTCCCTGCTCACATAGGTCTTGAGCGACACATACTTGTTGAAGTAGCTGTTGGCGAACTTCTCAAGTGCTGCAAAGGAGACATCACCGGGATCAACGTCCCGATCCTTGCCCATCGACCAAACCCCAGTTCGCAGCCACAGTGCGAGGCCACTGGCCTCATACATGCCATTGACCTTCATGGAAGCCATGCACTGCTCCGTTGCCCAAGGTGCCTGCACAACAGAAGAACAGTGTCACTGTTCTTCTTGAGGACTCTGTAATAATCACCGATTATTACAGAGTCCTCAAGATGCATCAACTTGGGACAACACGATGACTGTCACCTGGGCACCAAAACAACATAGCGAAACTATGCCAATTCAAAATGTGGCCTTGTAAGTCGAGGCGTCTTTGTCCTTCACCTCCGCAGATATCTCCAGTGGGGGCGTCTTGTGCATTGCCTTCGCTGCAGTGAACTTCTTTGGCAAGTTCTCGCGGACCTGCTGGCACCCATGCAGCTTGAAAACCAATCGCTTTTCAGCCCACACAAACTGCCACACAACATACGCGCAAACATGGCATCATGAGTGCCCGGCCCATGGGATCAACTTCTCCATCAAGGTCCGACTGCTAGCCTCTGTCAACAGAAGTGGCAGATGGCGCGGTTCGAAACTACGGCGACAACATGAAATGAAAAACCGTGAAAACCGCCAGGCCCCCCAACGCAAGGATCGCTGGGACCACTAGGGCAAGCCATTGCCGCCGCGCACTTCAGGCAGACAGCAAAGAAAGCGGGGACAGCGGGGACAGCTGGTCTCTGCTGCGGTGAATGGTTATGAAATCAAACCCGATGAACTATGCTGACAAACTCATACTACAAGCTGATGGGCCCAACATGTCACACAAACAAAGTCTTGGAAGCTGCCAATCTCAGTTTGTTTTACTTCTGCAAAATGTGCACGCCAGCATGGCCTTGCGATGCAAAAACGGATTAAAAAAAACACAAGTGGGCAGCTGCATCAGCGCAGCCCTCTCAAGCACCTGTGGTGCCGCCAGAAGCCAGTTTGCTTGGCTCAGGGTCCTCAGCAGGTCCTTCGGCAGGCTTCATCTCAGCATCAATCTTGCCAATCTCAGCCTCATGGTCCATAATCTCTGCCTTCAAGGTGTCCACCGCCTCTTCCAAATGGCGCTTGCGGTTTTGAAGCCTCGCCCTGTGGTTTTGATGCAGAAGATCTGTTTGTGACTGGTACTCTGCAGTCTGGCTGACTTTCATTCTGAAGTCTTCGATGGCCAACATCATCTCATTCTTCTGGATGAGCTGAATCAAGCCAGCAGGCTTGTAGAGCCAGAGTGGGCAAAGAGGATGAAAGAATGGCAGGTGATGATCCACCAAGGACTGCGCGCAGAACTTCAGCAGGTGCAGCGGCGCCGACTGCTGGGACTGCTGGAACTGCTCAGAGGGTGGCTTGTAAGCAAAGAAGCCCAGGATCATGGCAGTAATGGGGCTTGCCACCAATGGCAACCCAATGTAATCACCTCTACCGGCAATGCAATTTTCAAGAAGCACCTTCATATCCTCATTGGTTTCATTCTGAAGCAACAGCTTCAGCACAGGCGCTGATCGCGTCACAGCCAACAGCTCTTGCAAGGGGACATGCTCAGCCGCCACAGGCAAGGCAAGAAAGTATGAGCAGGCAAAGTTCTCCATTTTTGTGCTGCCAAAGGCACGAGCGGCCCCGCCAGACAATGTGGGCTGGATGGCCGCAGGCCTGGCGCAACATTGCTGACATTTAATGATAATTTATCAGATCAGTTGAAAATGAAAACGCAAAGTGCGATGGTGCATTGCGTCTGTTGTTAACACTGCATGACCCCCCACGCCAAAAACATAACATTAAACTCTTGATGCAGTTGAGGCGCGCATACTCAACAAACCACTTGCCAACTTGCGTGAAAGGACGGAGAGGCTCCAGCGGCTCCTTCAACTGGAACCTGTTCTGGCAGCCTTGCAAAATGCCCTTGGAAACCAACTCTGCGACATTCTCTTGGGTTCGCAGCCGCCACACCACATAGTTGGGGCACTCCAATGCCGCATCAACACGGCTCTTGCCTGGGCTGCGCTTGAGTGCCTGTGCTTTTGCCTTCGGGTGCACTTCTAATGTCTCAGACAAAGTAACACCAAGCTTGCGGACAATCTCTTTTCGTGTCTGGGAGATGGCGCACAGAGGTGTGCGGTACCAGCTTGCAAAGGATAAGGAAGGCAAAATGCAAGCATCTGCGTCTTTGGAAATCAGCTCATCAAAAAACTTCTGCTCCATCGCATGGTAGCCAACAGTCGTCCAGGCCATGGTGGCCAAGCGTCGAAGGGATTGCTGGGACAGCTGGGGCAACTGCTGCTGGCGCTTCTGCTGCGGAAAACAAATGCAATTTGAAACATCAAAGAAGGTGAAAATCAATGAGAGCTGTCAAGTGGCTGGGAAAAAGTACAGTCATCCAATGGCTGAACTGACGCTGAAGCATTTCACCTTTGACTTGTCTCGTCATGCTGGGCTTCAGACCAATGGAACAACCAAAGTGCCGCAGAAGGCATCGAACCTCGCAGTGTTTTCAGTATGCGGCTTGGACTGCATTTTACCAAGCAGCCCTGTCACGACTGACAGCTTTGAGGCTCAGACTGTTTGTAGTTTTACTGCCTTTGCTGGGACAGCTGGGGCTGCTATTCCTGCAAATGGAACCAATGAAACTCAAGCCACATGGAAGAACATGAATAGCTTCACATCATATCCATGATAAGCAAAACCCAGTCAGTCCAGAACCCGCTGCACACGCAGGCTCACAGTTGGAACATCTGTTTGCCACCAATTGCCTCAGCCACGAAACAGGCCAGCTATGATGGCTTTAAGTGGACAAGGAGACAAACATCCCATAGTCAAGGTGCTTCGCGCTTCAAAAATCCAATTTTTGGCAACTTGTATAGTCTTGCACGCATTGATGAGCACAAGGGTCTCGCCGCTAGAGCCGTTGGATACCTTTTCAAACAGGTCTTCAACGCCCTTGAAGCGACGAAACGGCTCCAACTCTTGAAACACCTGTTCTCGAACTTCGTCAGGGGTCATGCCAGCCCACTTGCCAAAAGTCTTGCTAAATGGACCATTCCTGTCGAGATGGAATTGTGAAGCCCAACAAACCTGATTCTCCAACTGCTTAATCTGACTCTGTGAGGCTGCTACTATAATAGCTTACATACCAAGAGAGAACTATACTTGGGCACAGCCGAGCAACCAAGGCTGGCTGTCGACTTCTCCATCATCATCCAAACCCCCGCCCAATCGCCCGAGCTCACGCAAACTTTCTGCAAAGTGTGGTAGCATCAGCTTGTTCCCACCGCACTTGATATTCGGAAGCCTAGGCTGAACCGCAACAGGTCTATTAAAAAGAAACTGCTTCGCATGATCCCCATATTAAAAAAAAACTGCGTCGCATGATCCCCACATGTCTGGCATAGGTGTTCACAACACCCGTTCTACAGTTGCAAGGTTGCAGTTACTTTGGCGCTCTATCTAGCCAGCACTGCGACATTATGTCGCAGCCATACAGCTTACTTTCAAACTTGCAATGGCATTCTGCCTGGCTTGTGTTTTAGCAGCCTACTTGGCCAGTGTTCTGGCACCCTTCCTGGCATTCTTGTCTGGCACTGGCATTTAGTTTTTCATTCTCTGTCCAGCATACTGCGCATTACTGCGCGGCACGCGCATTGGCAGTTTACCCATCATGCGATTGTGTGTTCTGCCTTGGGTACACTCTAGGATTCTGTCGAGCATATGTCTTCGCGGCGCGCATTCTAACTGGAAGTGTTCTGGCATTTGTTCGGGCTTGGCGAACCCCAATGCTCTACTGGCCCTTCTGAACTTGGGGCACAAAGATGCTCAAGGCACAGATACCCTGCATCACAATCTATACCAACCTTGCCTAGAAAAATAACGCAAACATTAGCTCAACCAAGCCAAAGCAGCAAGTCCACATCCACCTTCCACTGAGCTTGGCTGGCACGGCTGGAATGGCTGACCCCCTTAGGCCAAATGAAGAGACAAGTCAGGGACCCATCGAGGAACTGGCTGGCCAATGACAGCACATCCTCTAGACGGAGACGCGCCACATCCCTATTCGGTCTGACGCGGCAGGCCTGCCAGTGTGTGGGGGTCACAACTGCTCTGCTGGAATGCGGCTAGTATGTGCAATTTCTTTCCATAAGACAGTCAATGAGAATCAGGAACACAAGCAAAGCCGTCTTCGTTGGCGAAAGGTATATTGGAACAGAAGAAGATACAGGTACATATATATATATATTTATATCTATATAATACATATATATAATATATATATATTATATATACATTTAAAATTTGCAGTTTTCCTATGTGTATGTCTGCACTTATAATGGAAGGTGTTACATACAATCCAGGCATATACGTCCTTACTTCACATGTAGCTATATGGAACGGTAGGAGCGCACAAGGCTTCGTAAAGAAAATCGCAAGCGTCACTACGAAGGTAAAATGGAAAGAGAATGAATAGTGGAAAAAGGATGGAGCCTGATGTGTGAAATGTACACGCGCAAACATACAAGGAGAGAATCTACAAGTCTTTCCATTGCAAGCCATCAAGCCAGCCCAACTTGAAACGGCTATGCCTTCGTCTTCCCACCCTTCTTCTTGGAATTCTGCTTGACAGGCATCTTCTTCTTCTTCTGCTTGACCAGGCGGGATGGAAGGTAAGCCTTCCTCTGGCCTGGCCCATTAGTGGATCGAAAGTAGGCCAGCAAGCCTTCAAGCAGAAAAAAGGACTTTGTCTTGGAATGCTGCAGCCAAAACTTCGCAAACCTGAGATGGCAACACGTGTGATCATACTGATTCTTGCCACTCTGTTTCAAAAACTGCTTTCAACGCTGACAGCTTTACAGACTTGCAACGGTGGGCAGCGCATGTAGACAGCCAAGATCAAGATCCCCAGCTGTTCACAAGGATCCAGCCGCTGGAAGGCAGCTTTACTTTGCAGCTGGGATAGATTGGCAGTCAGCTTGTCCTCTCCATACACCGGAATGCGCTCACCGTGGAGGTCAAGGTGAGCATATCACATGTGAGGCCAAACACCGCACACAAAAAGGATGCAAATAACAACACAGGCGCTCTTTGGTTCTGAGATCTGCTTGCATAAAAGTATCAACATAAGTATCAAGGCAACGGACGTCACCCTATACAAGCTAAACAAGCAAGTAGCTTCTGTCTGAATGCATGTACAGTTACATGTATACTCTGGCATATGATTAGCTGCTTCGTATAAGTGTAAGAACAAGTTACATACACATGCACATGTAGACCTCTATCCGTAGAATTACCAGTACTACCGCACAAGGCGGTGGCGGAAGTTTCAAAAATAGGAAACCTATAGGAGAGATTGGTTGTTGTGAATCAGGGATGGCAGAGCGAAGCCACTGGTGGACTGAAAGGCGATTGATCTCTCTCACTCTTGTCTACCTGTCTATCTAGCTATCTATCTATCTATCTATCTGTCTGTCTGTCTACCTGTCTATCTTTGGTGCAGTGAGATTCAGTGTAATGTAGTATAGTGTAAAGTAGTGTAATGTAATGGAGTGTAGTGGAGTGTAGTTGTAGTTGTAGGTATAGTGTAGTGGAGTGTAGTGTAGAGTAATGTTGTGAAGTGTAGTGGAAGGTAGTGTAGTGTAGCATAATGTAGTGTAGTGTAGTGGAGTCTAGTGTAGTGTAATGTAGTGTAGTGTAGTGGAGTCTAGTGTAGTGTAATGTAGTGTAGTAAAGTGTTATTTAGCGTAGTGGAGTGTAGTTATGTAGTTTTAGTTGTAGTGTTGTGGACTGTAGCGTAGTGCAATGTAGTGGAGTGCAGTGTAGTGTAAGGCAGTGTAGTGTAGTGTAATTTACTGTAGTGGAGTGTAGTGGAGTGTAGTTGTGCAGGTGTAGTTGTACTTGTTGTGTAGTGGAGTGGAGTGTAGTGTAATGTAGTGTAGTGGAGTGTAGTTGTGTAGTTGTAGTTGTAGTTGTAGTGTACTGGAGTGTAGCGGAGTGTCGTGGAGTGTAGTTGTCATTGTGTAGTTGTAGTGTAGTGGAGTGTAGTGGAGTGTAGTTGTGTAGTTGTAGTTGTGGTGTAGTGGACTGTAGTGGAGTGTAGTGTAATGTAGTGTAGTGTAGCGTAGTGGAGTGTAGTGTAGTGTAATGTAGGGTAGTGGAATGTAGTGGAGTGTAATGTAGTGTAATGTAGTGTAGTGTGATTTAGTGTAGTGGAGTGTAGTGGAGTGTAATGGACTGTAGTTGTGTAGTTGTAGTTGTAACCTGTAGTGTTGTGAAATGTAGTGTAATGTAATGTAGTGTAATGTAGTGTAGTGCAGCGTAGTTAGTGTAATGTAGTGTAGTCGAGTGAAGCGAAGCAACATCTGAACCGCCAAAAGTGGTCCAAACCCCTGGTGTTTTGTACATTTTGACTTCGAAATGTGCTTCGCGCCACAACGGCGTGCACTTTTTCGAAACTCGACATCTGAGCCTCCAAAAGTGGTCCGAACCCCTGGTGTTTTGTACATTTTGACTTCGAAATGTGCTTCGCGCCACAACGGCGTGCACTTTTTCGAAACTCGACATCTGAGCCTCCAAAAGTGGTTCGAACCCGTAGTGTTTTTAACATTCTGACCTCGAAATGTGCTTCGCGCCACAACGGCATGCACTTTTTCGACATCGCAACGTCCAAAAGTGGTCCGGAGCTGGTGTGTTTTGTACATTTTGAGTTGCAAATGTGCTTTGTGCCACAAGGGCGTGCACTTTTTCGACATCGCAACGTCCAAAAGTGGTCCGGAGCTGGTGTGTTTTGTACATTTTGAGTTGCAAATGTGCTTTGCGCCACAAGGGCGTGCACTTTTTCGACATTGCAACGTCCAAAATTGGTCCGACATTGGTGTGTTATTTTGTACATTTTGACTTGCAAATGTGCTTCGCGCCACAACGGCGTGCACTTTTTCATCTCTCATCTGGCCAGCTGGCTCCGCACCCGCCGCTTTAGCGAGCCTACTTTTCGACCCTCCGGAGCCACAAATCATTGGAAAAACACAGTGAATCGCGACTTTCCTATCTTTTCGCGCATCTACCTCTTCTTTCTTCTGATCTTTTCTCTTCTGACTCTTCTCACCTCTGCTTTTCAACTGTCCATATTGTCGGAAGTTTCACTTCTAAACTTCCTTCGATAAACTTAAAAAATAATATTCTCAATCCAAAGTGAAAAAACGGCCAAACCAGTACATATGTACAGATGGAATTTTGCACTTGTCCAC